ATAGAGCTTTCTCTCTGGTCTTCTCCTCTACCCGTCTCGTCCTCCCTCTCCCGTTCTATCCTCTTTCTCGCTCCACGAGCTTGCGTGCGCGGCAAGGGACGGGAGCGGCAGGGCTCCGCGGTGATTTTCGGAGCGGAGAATCCGTCGACGTCGAATATCCGGGTGAGTAAATTGTCTCGCGTTGCGATAATGACGATCGTCTTCGGGAATTCGGAGGAACGTCGCAGCCCGTGAGGAGCAGGCGAAAGCTTCGGTCGGTTCTCGCTACGCGTAAGCTCGAGCCGGTTGGCTCCGTTCGCCAGCCAGCCAGCCAGCCAGCCAAGAGTATCGATTCGAGCCGGCGCGTCGCTTCTCTCGGGCGAAACCGCCCTCGCAACACGTCGCGCGTCCGCGAGCCGCCGTTCTCGTGCCGGGGGTGGTGTTCGCCGCAGGTAAAGGATTTTCTCCGTGCGAGCCCGGCAGTGCCCGACGACGAGGAAGCCGGCCATTACGTTACGTGCCGGTCACGTTGCGTTTGATTAAGCGCCGCGAATTTCTTGGGTGCCGTGATTCCTCGACGAAAATTCTTGGTGCAGGTCGGGGGTGCGTCGTTGCGATCGATCGATCGGGGAACAGTCGATCGGTAAGTGGTACCAACTCGAGGGTAACTCGGGTTTTTAACCTCATTGCGCGATATGTCGTAATCATCGCGTCATTTAATCGCATCTCTCATCGAATTTGCAATGTCTTCTCTTCTCCCTGAAATGTATTAAAGAGTAGCTTTACGATCGAGTTACACGACCATACGTACGAGCGGAAAGGGGGTAGCGAAAGGGGTAGCTGATAGTAATATTTTTGGTAATTTTGAATGGATATCTCTCCGATGATGATACCTCAAAGGTGCGACGTTTCGGAGTAATCGCCGTGCGATCGCTACTGAGAAATGGCCGCCTTCGTGGGGCTGTGACTATTATTAGAAAAGGCAGGAGGTAGCCGGTACGCGTTACGGTAAGACTTGCAACGCGAAAAGCGAACGAAGTGAAAATCAATGCGCAACTGATTGCACGATACTGATTTTCTATTCTGATTTATCGCTACCCACGTTGACTGATTTGATTTTCAATTACATAATATATTTTCCCGATGTAAATAATAGTTACAAGATACGCGGATTTTACATAAATAATTCTAACGGATTGTTAAAATTGTCTTCTATACTTTCCTAAATTATAATCCTTATCTCTTTTAGTCGCAGAAAGAAAGTTTAGTTACGTGGTCAAGGCTAATTTCGATCTAATTAATAATTTGCCATGTAATTCAACTTAGCCAACCCTGAACTCTACATTGTGAGTCGTATAAAAAAGTCTGATAAAAATAGAAATTAAATCTTTCATAGCACAATGTGTACATCGTACTTATATTTATCCCAAAATATTAATATAAATTTTTTACTTCCTAACCATTGGATAATTACATAATTAATTTTCTTGAAAAATAAAATAATGAAGTATTTTTTATTGAAATTAAGCGGAAATTTATTATCGGACATTGTAATATTTATTTAATTAGACCCTTAATGTTTATCAATTACGCGAGGCATCGTGAGTTTTAACACACCCTATACTAAATCGAGATTGCTAGGACAGCATCGTACACCCTTTATTGATCTAAAAGGCGGACTTGCGGGACGGATTACCTGGGCCGCGACATACGATTTGAGTTCATTGGAACGCGGTCGACTCCCCTAAACAGTCTCCCTTGAATTGGTGTAATCGAGCCGCAAAATTGTTTTTCCGTGACGGATTGCGATCACCTCGGCGGGTAAATCCGGGAAATAACCGCGCACGCTCGATCCGATACCACTCATATTTATACACATACGTCGAGAGAGAGAGAGAGAGAGAGAGAGAGAGAGGGAGGAGAGAGAGTTCACGAGCCCTGCGTAGGTCTCTCCTTGAAACGAATCAATACCTTTTGTAGCTTACGAAAGGTCCTCCATGCTCGTGCGTCAATATTTATCGTCCGTTTAATATCCGATCAATCTATTATGTGTGAAATTTCATTAGCGTCTCATTAAAGATGAACGTAAAAAAATTATTTATATATTATCAGTTACAATTGATCTCTCTTGTACGTTACATTAAGCATTAATCTAGAAAATCGTACAAAAAATCGTGTACTTAAATAAAATTAAAAAGAGCAATATTTTTATTATATATTATATTTAATATTTGTCTCTAAATATAAATATGGACAGGACCTGTCTATATTTAGATACAAATATTAAGTATAATATTTAACTCATGGATAATTAAAGATAATTATAATGAGACATCCGTAATGTATGTGTATATATATATATATATATATATGTATATGTAATGTATGTGTATATATATATATATATATGTATATATGAGACATACATTACGGATTTCATTATAATTACTGTCAATTATCCATGTAAATACTAATTATGCAGTTCTACATTGTATATAAAGCTGTTATTGATTATTCAATATTGATGCCTAAGTTACTACCCCTCGCGCATTAACCGAGCGAATAGCCGATAAAGGAGTATTACTGTTTACTGTCTATTTACATTATGCGGATTATTCATAAATCAATAGCTTTAGAACATTCTATAATTGAATTGTGCATAGAGGCTCAATACTAGCTTAAAGTGATTTCCCTTAAGTATAATGTACGCCTACAAATTTATTATCGCAGAGCATGTCTATAGACAGACATTGCGCCATGGTCTATAGTCGCCATCTTATTCTACATTGGAGAACACAATGTGTTATATTAAATTATATTTAACGCAACCATTAAAGTCATTCTGAAATCGCTATACCGTTCGCCATGTAACCACGATCGATATCTCACTTCTGAATTCTCGCCTCATGTCAGCAGATAGCTAGAGCCTCGACAACATGGGTAAGGAGAAGATCCACATAAACATCGTGGTGATCGGTCACGTGGACTCCGGCAAGTCCACGACGACCGGCCACCTGATTTACAAATGCGGCGGCATCGACAAGCGGACGATCGAGAAGTTCGAGAAGGAGGCGCAGGAGATGGGCAAGGGCTCGTTCAAGTACGCCTGGGTGCTGGATAAGCTCAAGGCGGAGCGCGAGCGCGGCATCACCATCGACATCGCCCTGTGGAAGTTCGAGACGGCCAAGTACTACGTCACCATCATCGACGCCCCCGGTCACCGTGACTTCATCAAGAACATGATCACCGGCACCAGCCAGGCGGACTGCGCGGTGCTGATTGTCGCGGCTGGTATCGGCGAGTTCGAGGCCGGTATCTCGAAGAACGGACAAACCCGCGAGCACGCTCTGCTCGCCTTCACGTTGGGCGTGAAGCAACTGATTGTCGGCGTTAACAAGATGGACATGACCGACCCGCCATACTCGGAGACGCGCTTCGAGGAGATCAAAAAGGAGGTGTCGTCGTACATCAAGAAGATCGGCTACAACACCGCCTCGGTCGCCTTTGTGCCGATCTCCGGCTGGCACGGTGACAATATGCTCGAGCCGTCCCCGAAGACACCCTGGTACAAGGGCTGGAAGGTGGAGCGTAAAGATGGCAATGCCGACGGCAAGACGCTTATCGAAGCGCTCGATGCCATTCTACCGCCCTCCAGACCGACTGACAAGGCCCTACGGCTTCCGCTTCAAGATGTCTACAAAATTGGCGGTATCGGAACGGTACCCGTCGGCCGCGTAGAGACCGGAATATTGAAGCCAGGTTATTATATAAATTTTAATAATTTCGCGCGGTTTGGAAAATAATCCTAAAAAGATGTTTATTTTATCAGATATTTTCATTTTTAACTAAAAATAATCTAAATAAAAAAATCGAAACTTGTGTTAATTAGAAAACACTAGCAGTACATGAAGAATTAGATTGTAAATTATTAGAAACACATAAAAATATAATTGTATTTTTTTATATATATTTATACTTATATGTTCATATTAATTTGATTCGTTATAATTTAAATTTTATAAATCTTTGAGAAATTTTTCAGAGAGCTTTATCAAATTATTCTAACAGAAATATTAAATCTTAATAATCATTCAATTATAACAAATCACATTTAATATTTATATCTATCTGATTCTTAAATAGTGACTGTTATTATTCATTTAACCGCCTTTATTTTAAAGGGACTATAAAAGGGACTATAAGGGAATATAAAATCTTATACATTTTTAAGGTATGCTGGTAACTTTCGCGCCAGCGGCTCTGACCACTGAGGTGAAATCCGTCGAGATGCATCACGAAGCTCTGACGGAGGCTTTGCCTGGCGATAACGTCGGCTTCAACGTGAAGAACATCTCCGTGAAGGAGCTGAGGCGTGGTTACGTCGCCGGCGATTCCAAGAATCAGCCGCCGCGCGGTGCCGCTGACTTCACCGCTCAAGTGATTGTCCTGAATCATCCTGGACAGATCAGCAACGGCTACACGCCAGTGCTCGATTGTCACACCGCTCACATCGCCTGCAAATTCGCTGAAATTAAGGAGAAGTGCGACCGTCGTACCGGCAAGACCACCGAGGAAAATCCGAAGAGCATAAAAAGCGGCGACGCCGCCATTGTGATGCTGCAGCCGACCAAGCCGATGTGCGTCGAGGCCTTCCAGGAGTTTCCACCCCTGGGCCGCTTTGCGGTCCGCGACATGCGTCAGACCGTTGCCGTGGGTGTTATCAAGGTACGGGGAAATCTCCCCTTATCTCAAAATTTTTTTAAGTAAAAAATCTGAGAATAATTTTAAACGTAGTTGCAAAAATCTTATCTCTCTTCTTCTCACTATTTAGATTTCCATTCTCCAAAAGATATAGTATAACTATAAATTTATTACTTTTTAATAAAATTATTACTTGGAACTATTTAATAAATTTATTACTTGGAAATTCACTTCTATTTTTAGTTCTTCTATCATAACAGTAGTCATCCAATTTTTTCATTTGATAAATAATTGCATATCTAAAATGATTCTTGACTTATGACTTGTATTTTTAATATTTCATGTTTTTTTTGTTATGGCATATCCATATTCTGTATATAGCTCAAAATTAAATAATTGTTTTAAATAATTGTTTTAAAATTTAATATTTTTTAATATTATTTGTAGAGATAAATTTTTTTGTATATATATTCTCAAGTTTGATTCATAAAGCAAACTAATTACCGATTATTGTTTCAAGATAGATCAACGTCACGATGTAATCACTTAGCGATTCGTAATGCTTCCTCCGCAGAGCGTCACCTTCAAAGACACCCAGGGCAAGGTAACAAAGGCCGCGGAGAAAGCCCAGAAGAAAAAGTAACCATCAAGCTTCCTCGGAAGCTCGCAGTCCGCCGGCTGGTGCCCTGTAGCAGCAGGCGTCCCCGTGCAGCAGCTGGGACCCACCGTCAGGACGCAGCATGCCGCCGCGGTGGCTGCCCCGCTCGACTCATACTCGTCGATTAATACCAAAAGTCATAAGATGTTGTGCTTACCCCCGTTACATTACCCGGTAGTGTTGAACCCGCGCATCTATCCGAATCTGCACATTCAGTTCACCCACGCCCCGCGCACGCCTCACATATGCTAGGAGGAGCGTTGCCCCGCGTCTTACCGCGTTTATCATTAATTACTCGATATTGACGATATGTGTCCGGTATTTACCAGGTACTCAGTTCCCTTGGACTCTGTGTAGTTAGGTTTTTCAATTGATACAAACACCGAGCATCAACAACAACCACGGGATGTCGCGGAGATAGCCGCGCTCGGGAATCCTCCCCGCTCTCGCGAGAGGGGCGAGCGAGACAGCGGGTGCGTCGCCTTTCTCCCCACCCCCCCTTCCCCTCGTCGGATGTCCCGTTTCTACAAGACGGAGCAGCGACGAGCACTTAACCGCGCCGCGATCGGCGACGTCGAGGCGAACGCCGCTGGCTCGCATGCCCAGCAAGACTTCTCTCGATCGATTCTTTTCGAAGGGCTCGTTAAGGCTGATTTGTTCCGAGACTTGGTTGCCTCGCTCTCTGTACGATTAGTTTTATTATACTTATAAGATATTTATCTGTAGTTATATAGGGATCATTAGACTATGTTCCCTCTCTTGTCGTCGGCGAGTCGCCGGTTGCCTCCCCTCTCGAAGGAGGGAAACGATCGTCTCCTTGGAGAGGATAAGACATCCGTCGCGAATCGCCCGTGTTGATCTCGGCGCTCTCCCTCCCGCTGACCATAGACGCGCTCTATGACATTGTTTTGACCCTTAGCCAGTATTACGTTGATGTAATAAAAAAAATCTTTAATTGCATCTCCAAATCTCTTTACTTTCTCCTCGATGATGATTACCCTCTCGTAATCCCCGCCGACAGATGGCAAAATAATTATAATTAGATTTCCCGCATTGCGCAGTTACAAAATTATGAGAAATATAATATCTTTCTTCTTATCTACACCTCATCTTGATCCAAACGCGAAAGCAGACGAAGAATCCGCGTAGGCAGATATGACGTAAGACAGACATGGTTGATGCGAAAGAAGTGGGACGGGTGTCTAAGGTAAATATAATTTATTCCGCATAAATTCTTCTCCTTTCTTTTTTAAAGTTATAACTAGAGACGTGGTATGTACAAATATACTTAATGCAGTGATCTTACAAGAGTTTTTTAGTGTAATGCAGGTCTTGGTCAGTCTTTA